GGACCGCGGTCTGTCCGTGCTCCCGGCCCCGTCCTGCTGGGCCAGAGGAGCTCCCGCGAAGGGCGAGGGGCGGCTTTTCCACCGGGCACCGATGGCTGCAGGCGCAGGCAGGGGCACCTGGGTGCCTGAGCGTGATCTCTATCCAAAACTCGTCCCCTCTCTGGGCAGCCACCCCTGGTGGCACTGCGGCCATCGGGGCTCCTCGCCGTGGGCCGCTGCCGGCAGTTATCTCCAGCAAGGACACGCGCTTGGAGCAAGCGGGCCGCTCCTGCCTGACTTCGAAGGCAGCGGCTTCTGCCGTAACGAGGTATAGCCCAGTTTCAGGTGGAGTTAGCCCCGGGGGAAACATGAAACCAAACTACTGTTCATCAGAAACAGGGTAATGAGGCCGTTTGGGTTATTTGTAGCTCTCTGTGGGCTGGGATGGCCTCTCCTACCTCTCCCCAGGCAGATTCCCTCCTGCAGGGACCCCAGATCATTTTGCTAAGCTCAAATTGCCCTGTTTTGTGCTCGGAGAATCCAGGCTGTGAGTTAACCTGATGGGTGCCTGCAGCACTGAGTGGTGTGAGCTCTCACCAGCCTAGATGGATCTGGTCGTCCACTTTAGTGTCCAAAACCAGAATTTCTGCAACATTGATCCAAATTTGCTCATTTTTGAGGGGGTGCACATGACCCCATGGGATACAGGGACAGGACAGCATTGCTCTGCAGGACTCTGCGGGTTTTGCAAGTGGGTCTGCATCCAGCGTCTGCTTGTTCCTCCCTGTGCATCTCTGCTTCAACACCAGCCCCATCTGGCTTCTCCTTCCTGGGGGCTCGGTCACCTTGGGCCTGGCGGCAGGGAACAGCCGAGCTGCAGCGATCAGTGCTGTGACCTTGGCTGGCGTCCTTCAGAGCCGGCATCCTTCAGAGCTGGCCTCGCGTGGCCCCCAGGCTGCCTGGGGCGGGGCCGGCCCACGTGAGGGTGCGGGGACACACATCCCTGTGACCCCCGTTAATCCGCCCCTGCTGTCATGGGCAGCCTCCTCCGAGTGCTCAGGGCAGAGGCAGTGGCTGCCCCCCTCTGATCAACCATTCAGGTCACTCCCGCATCGATTGGGTCTGGAGTGTGCTGATAAACTTGGCTTCGGAGCTACAGGGACACAGGGAGGTTGAAAGTCCATGTCTGACCAGGTCTGCATGTCATGGGGCTGCCTGAGCATGTCCCCAGCCCCAGCCTGCTTCTGGCAGGCTCTCCCCGTGCACCGGCACAGTGTCTTTGTTTTGCACCACTCATCCTCCCCCCATGGGTCAGACCCCTGGCCAGGGGGGCCCTCTGCTCCATCCCCTTCCTCGCACAGCCCAGGGCCGGGCTCCCCCGAGGGGGCTGCACCCTGCCCTGTGTCACCCCACTCCTGTTCCCCCTGCGGCACAAGCGTGGCTGTGCCTCCACGGGAGAGCAACAGATGCACCCGGCCCTTCGGGCAGCGCTGGGCAGGCTTGTCCTGTGATTAAACCAGCCTGAAGCCCCACTTCATCACTCCAATTGCCCTGTCAATAGCCGGGCATTAGAGAGGGCTGCTGGACCGGTTCTTGCGCACTGACACATCCCCTGTCAATAACGTCTGGATTTAAGTCTGTGGCTCAGAGCATCTTTGCTTATCTCAGCTCCCTGAAGCACTTACGTTCCCGGGCATCATAACTCCCTGCCTGTAAGTGGAGACAGGCACCATTAGACCCGCAGCAAACAGCTACTGCAGCAAGTTTTGCTGGCAAAAGTGCAGCAAAGGTGTTTTCCACCTGCTCTTTTGCAGGTGAGCTTCCTGCAGGCTGCCAGGCCGGGGCTTGGTGTGGAGATGGGCACAGCCCCAGAAGCACCCACATCCTCCTTCCCCAGCACCCCTCATGCCTCTAGCAGACGTGTGTGCTCACAGACCTCTCCAGAGCGAGGGCAATGCAACGATTTATTTTTATACAGCCCATTTCACTTATCATCAGTGCATCAGAAAGCGACAATTCACCTTTCAATGCACCAGCTGAAAAAAACCCGGCTCCACTCTGCTTGGCAGCGCCTCAGATTGGCCCTTTCCTGAGGCTGGGTGTTTAGCAGAGACTTAGAGCTCAATCTGTTTAGCTTATCGAAAAGTAGCCTGAGATGTGACTTGATTACAGTGTGAAAGTACCTTTCCAGGGAGAAAACTGCCAGGTATTAAAGGACTCTTTAACTTAGCTGAGAGAGGAATAATAAGAACTGAGGGCTTGAAGATAAAGTCAGACAAATTGAAACTCAAAATCGGGCGCAGGTCTGCAGCAAGGAGGGCGCAGAGCGGCTGGAGCAGGATCACGGGGTGCCTTTCTCAAAGCGATGCCCTGGCTGCACCGCGGGTGCCCGGGGCCGGGGGTCCTGGACCAGGGGGCTGCTCCGTCCTGCCCCTACGGCTCTGACCCCGCACGGATGCAGGCTTGGGCAGCAGCAGGATGAGTCTGGTGGCATCCATGGGCAAGGGGGATGGGGGACTGAATTTTGCTTCCCAGGCACATCTGAAAATCTCGCTGTCGCACGGCATCTCTGCCAGAGCCCGGGAGCACGTCAGCCCCTGAGGTGACCTTTCCCGGGACAGCTGGAGCCTCCCTTTCTGTACCAGGGGAAATTCCAGCCTGGTGAAAACTGCGCGTCATGGAGGAACTCGATCCTGAAAACCAAAAGCCCTCTCTCCATGCTGCTCCCACCTCCCCTCTCCTCCACTGCCGGGAGCGCATGGGAGCCCACAAAGTGCATGGGGATGTCCTCGTTTTGCTCTGCTCTGCCGTCCCCACGACCGACGGCTGCACGTCTAATGATTCCCTGCCGGGAGTTAATCTTGACTGTTAGCATGTCAGGTTGCCGGCGGATTAAACAAGGGGATTAGCATCAAACAATTTCCCTCCCGCCCCGAGCGGGGAGGCAGGAAATATAATCACTGCGGTTTTATTCTGCTTAGGCTAAAAAAGCTCCCTGGCATGTGGCCGGGTGATGCCAGCTGTGCCGGTGGCACAAGGAGGCACGTGCCCAGGGTGCTGCAGAGGCAGCGCTGCCTCTGCTGCACACAGGTCCCTGCCGGCACCGTGATGGGGATGCCGAGAGCAGGGGCTGCTTGTCCCGGGGGGCTCGGGGAGGTGCTCCTGCTGGGTGGCACTCATGTAACTGCTGCAGCCTGCACCCAGGGTGCTGGGTGCAGCTGTGGCTGGATCAGACCAACCCGTTGCCCAGCTGTGAGGGGCGCATGTGTGCAGCAGCTGATCTGCTGGGCTCGGGGCAGGGGCTGCAGCCGTTCACCAGATGCCCCCGAGGAGGGCACAAAAGCTGGGGCTGGAGAGGGGGAAGCTCCCAGCCCCCAGGCAGCGACTGAGCTGCCCCAGCAGCTGCAGGCCTGGGCTCAGCTGTGGACAGCAGAGGATGGAACAGCCTTGCAGGTGCAAAAGCAAATCTGTCTTCCCAACAGCTACCAGGTTCCAGAGCCAGGGGACGGTGACACAGCTCTGATCCAATGGCTGTGGTGCTACAGACTTGCAAGCTTTTATTCCAAGCTTCCTCCCCACCTGCGATCACAGGATCCACTGTCAGCGTCGGGGCACAACACTGCCCTCTCAGACACTATATAAAAAGTAAAATAAACTCTCTAATCCAGGGTTTGTGTTTGATAAAGAGAACTCGCACAGCT